AACCGAGGTGTTGACGCCTTTTTAACCATGACCGCCGGCCTATCTCACGCTGGAGTGAAGCGCTCCAAAGTAGCTCTGAAGCTTGTGCTTAATCTTACTTAAGTTATCGCCCAGGTTTGTACCTAGTCTTCCGGGGTATCAGCTCACGTATGAGTGAAGCGCTGAAATAAGGCAGTGCTAAAGCTTGTACCTAAACTACCTAACATAGCAGGTCTGGCCTGGATTCATCCCTTCCCCTTACTATCCGCAACTTGCTGCTTGTCTTACTTTGCTATGCGGCGCTGCCTCAATTTAGCACTAAAGCTACGGATAAGAGACCGGTAAAACGGCAACAGCAGCGATATTTGGAGGGGTAAAGGAAGTGCTCAAGTCGGAAGTTTCACTCATCCCGTCTTCTCGACAAACCGCAACAGAAGAAGACCCGGACGGATAACAGTAAAATCTTGCGACAATATCAACGATAATGATATCGAGATTGCAATGTGAGCAAGCACATGACTTGAAACTCAACCCACAACTATGGGACTTCCTTTCTCACACTTATTACACCACACTGAGTCCAGTTCGAGGATTTCTACACTAATTTGATCCTCCTCCCTATTTGCTTCATTTTCTCATAGCAGACGGTGGGCCACATGGGTGTCGACTTTTAGAAGGCTAGTTGTGTGGGCTGAGTCAGGTGCTAGTTTCCACTGGAATTTTGTGTCTCACAGTGAATCTAACATCGCGGCTTGGGAAATTTTATACGTTTAAAAAGGTGGACTGCCCGACTTACGCATTTCACAGATCTGATGGAGCGATTAATCGCAGTTAAATTAATGTTCAGACGCGCAAAGCACATCTAAAATAAAAATCGCGCATAGGACAGAGATCTTCTTTTCGCGAAGATATTCAGTCTCCACATCAAACCTTAACAAAAAAAGTTGCTCCGCGTTCTCTGACGAGTTATCTAGTCTTTTTGACGCGCATATTGAGGCAGATTTAGGTATACAAAATTCGGTAAAGCAAAAGTTCTCCCGCCCAAGTTTCTTACGGAAATCGTGGTTAAAGATTTAATGCTTGATTAAAGCTCAGGTAGAGTGTGTTTAATGCATGATAAGTGCACAGTATAAAATAAATCAAGGCCGCTGGTAAGTGTTTTACGGAACTAAAAGTATCGGTGAAAAGCATGCAGAAAGAATGAAATCGACCAACATAATCTATTATTGGTCAGCAAAGGATGCCTATAGACCAGTAACAGTATTAGAACAACTCCTATTGGTTAATATAACCAAGGAAGTGTTTAGGTAAGTGAAAACTCGACATTCTCGAAATGCGGAAGTACTTTTTTTATTATTAAACACAAACAAAAGCTGCCTTATAAGAGAGCCCTACCGAAAATTCCAAACAGAACAAGAATCTAAGCTAGTTAGTCCTTAGAGTTCAGAGGGCGACATATTTCGTTTTGACCCTTCTTCGGTTTAATGACAGTGCAACCGTTTCTGTTACTGTTTCCTATTCATGTCTCTGATGATGAATCCGCGACGGATAACGAAACGTCAGGTGAGTAAACGTATTGTCCCAGCGATCGAGTCTTCTTCTTCTCATATTTGTGTCTGTCAGACAAGCAGTAAGTAGCAAAAAAGAAGCTTGAGTCATAATCATCTGGTGAAATTGGAGAAGCATGTTCCGTCCGTTTATCAATACTGCCCGATTTTACTACGGGGGGGGGGGTTTCGGTTCACCAGTGTGCTTATATTCTCAACGTATAATTTACAATCTATCAGGTAATTAATGTGCGCAAACTTAGAATAAAATCTGCAGGTCCAGATATTCAGGGCTACTTCATGAAACCTAAGATAAAAGTTGAGTTAAATAATATCAATATAGAGAGGAAAAGCACTGCACTACCTTATATCTGCCGGTCTGCTGTATGCAATACGATCAAATGCAATTTTAAGCCCTTTTTTATCTGTTAACTGTTTTCGCCACATTTATTGAAGTTTAATGACGATCTGGGGAACCGCCGTCGAAAATTTACTCAATAAATGCTCCTACTTTTCCCGAAGAACCTAGTCACTTTCAAATATATAAGCTAGTGCGTTGGACTCGGGTGGCACAACACCTGAGGTTGGGTATGGCCGACTAATGCCGGCTAATAAGCCGGAAATAGTCATTCTAGTCTCTCTTGTCTTTGTCGGAAGTGTATATCTGCCTGTAATATAAGCCAGCTGCTGAGCAGCTGCTGGCGGGGCTTGTGAGCGAGCTCCAAGGCACAAAGGAATGATGGAGTTTCGTAAACGCTCGGTGAACGCCTATCGACCATTCTGTATATTTTCGATCGAAATCAAGAGGATGAGTCCTTGGGACAGTGGTTAGAGCTTTAGACTTCTAACCAACAGGTCACGGATTCGAGCCTCGGTTGCCGCAACACCTGAAGTTAGGTGTGGCTGACTGAAAACGATCAATAAGCTAGAAATCGCCATTTCAGTCTGCCTTGTTATTGTAGGAGATGCAAGTTGGCATCCGGGCCTTCACCAAATAGTAATATTGCATATGAATAGCTGAGACTAGATACGTAGCCTACAAGCACACATAGTCATCAAGCGAAAGAACAGTTGAGGTTGCAACGCACAGCACAAATGCTGAGAATACGGCGAATCTATCTTTCTTTTAGTCGTAATCTTGGATCCTGCGAACTCCGTAAATCTACCTCCGGTGTCATAGACGCGAGCTTTTACCTTGAAGCTGACTGGACCACAATGACTACGGAAACACGGTGGTGTGCGGTGTGGGTACACAGGTTAAAAAAACTTACAACTCTCTTTCATCACGAAACTCGGCCAACTAGCACCGGCTTCCTCAATGTGGATGCGCACACAATGAAGTCCTAGAGAGCTAGAACAGTCAATTTCTCGTGCGCTTTTCTGCTGCGTCGAAGCCTTAAGGAAGACGGCGAGGCGAGGTTCTTGGATGGCGGGCCAGGGATCAAACTTTGCAGATTCTCTGAAGGCTGAAGGCGGAAGTTCCGACGAGTTGGGCGGAGATGTTTCTTCAGTCTGCACGCGTCCCAGCCGCCAGTTCAGGAAGGCCTGTTTGGACAGGCTCTCTCGTGTAAATGACGACCTGGAGGGGGATAAACTGGAGAGACCGGTGCAACTGCATAGGATGCCACGGTAGCGTCTGATGGCTTGCTGAAAACGTCAAAATTGAAATTTATTCAACTGATTACAAGTAACAAAGGTAATAACACATTCGACTGTTGTACTTCTAGAGGCACTCCAAAAATCGTAAATATTCGACGACAATCATAATTTGATGTAAATATTTGACTATTGCTAAGCTAGTTATAGTTATGAACGCCTAAGTCGCCTCTTATTCAAATTAAAAAGTCAGCCCTTAAGAATTTTAACCACAATCACAACTCAAAGCTGAAACTGTTAGTTCCCCTGATCGACTTTTCTACTTACCGGGGCGATTGTTATGCAGCGAAGAATAGAAATAGAAATAAGGAAGAGCATAATCTTTAGTATGGAGCTGGAAGTGATGGCTATTATGATGTTACGTGAGAATAAATCCGCTGAAGGACTACATAAGGGGAAGGTAACCACATATATAAGCCCTTTATTATAGAATATTATCAGTTCCGTACCTGTCAAACAATGAAATGGAGCAAATGCTAACCGAAAAAAAGGCATACCTCAAGGATATAGTTGGAAGGACCGTCCACAATAAACTGAAAGCCCTTTAAGTCAACAGGATAAAAGATCCGGCTGGATGCCCAGTTTGCTGGCCTGGGAGTTGGCTCACCAAATGTAGGAAAGGGCGCATGTGGTATGGGAATAGTGTTCAGAAAAGTGTCCCTAAAAGACCAGACATCGTTTTCTAGTTTAAGATCGTCGACCGGCTATAGGACGAGAGAAGAGAAAAAACATGTAATTAGTGGAGTAGGCTAAGATGGAAAGTCGATATAT